CTGACTGTTTATAAGCAACACCTCTGTTCTAGCCTAGTTTTCCCAGACTTTATGGTTTCATAGCAGACACGTGATACGTCAGCGATCTGATGAGTTGATGTGATGCATTTTGACAAGAGACTCAAAACTAATAATAAATTCTACTTCAGATTTTAGGTACTTCGGTTAGTTTTATTTTTGATGAGAAAATCTTGATTCCTTCTCATTGAAATTCCAGCAAAACTGCAAGTTTTATAAAATTATTTATTTTATTATTATTATTGTATTTCTCATTTATCTGCAATCCAATCGGTTGCATATCCGAAAAGCTTATTGAAAATATCGCAGCAATTGCGGAAGTAGCAGCAGCTGGAACATCTGTCACTGGCGCTTGCTGTCAACTTGAATAATGCACAAACAGACACATACATACACATATACATATATACCTATCTGTATGTAATTCAAGCAAAGCACGCTGACAGCTGCCAATTGTGATAGCGACGCGACGGTTGCATCAACACCCACGCCCACCAACAAACACATCAAAGGAATGCAGAAAATAGAATTTGCAATAGAAATGGGATTTAAGTGAATACGAACACATTCACCTACAAGCAAAGTACAAATGTGTAGAAATATGTATGAATGTATGTATGTTGTTTTGATTTACTTTAGCAGTGCATTGCACTCGTAGTCGTATTGTTTTGACAGATGGCTGTCGGGCGTCGCTGCGTTCGTGCGTGTATTGACTTCAGCAAATGTATGTACGGGGGATTAACAAAAGTTCGGTTAAGTGAACAGAAAAAATAGTAAAAAAAAACATTATTGTTTTTATTCGTAATCTTTGTCCTTTTTTTATCTTCTCTACATAATCGCCATTGATTTCAATGCTTTTCTTCAGATTATAGATCCACTACTGAGAACAGTCTTCAAAATCTTGCTTTTTAAGTTTATCAAGTTCAGCGGTTAATTAATTATGTCCCCTTTGCCATAAAAGAACTTTCTTTCTAAATTTTTTTTTGAATTTATGGAAATAACCAGAAATCAAAACGTGCTACATCCGGGGAATATGGTGCTGGGCATTTTTTTTCGATCCCACATATCACAATAAAATTACTCGTAATTTCAGCAGTGTGGCATGGCGCGTTCTCATGTTGCACAAACTAGCGCCGCTTTTTCTTTCTATTTTCCAACAAATTTTTGAAAACTTTTTATAAGCACTCCTCGGTGTACCATTTTCCAGTGGAATAGCAGCTCCGATCTCGGATCGGGTGAAATAAACTGAGTTCACTAGTTTTGCTGCTGATTTTTGTTGCTTAGTTTTTACGGCTGGTTTTGTTTCTGTTGCGCTCCAGACCGTGGACTGCTGTTTGGTTTCTGAATCGTGTTTATAGAACCAAGATTCCTCACCAATAATGACTTTACTTAAGTTGCTAGACTCACTATTTCCGAATTTGTATAAGAAAAATTGAACAAAATGCAGTCTCGCCTCTTTTTGGGCCTCACTTAAAATTCGTGGTACCCATCAAGCAAATTTCTTCGTGATTCCCGGTTGATTACTTAATATTCGCAAAACAGCTATGGTATTCAAGCTCAATTCATTACCAATCATTTCAGGTATCAATCGTGGGTCTTTGTCAATTTTGGACTTCACCAGAGCTACAGTGACGCCATCAGTGGTAGATTTTGGTCGACCTTCACGGGGTTCCTCCTCTACTGAAAAATATCCGCTCTGTAAACTACGGAATCACTCAAAAATAGTACTCAAAAACGAAGCAACAGTTCCATATGCAATTTGGTACTAACTGGATATTTGTATTGGCTGTAAATTACGCCGAAACCCGAGGAGAATCACATAACAAATTTCTGTTTGCGTTGGTGGTGGAATTTCGTCTGATCTCTCCTCAGCTAACTTGCGTTTTCTAGTCTCCATTTTAGCCGCTCGTTCTAAAATTTGAAAGGAAGACTAATAAAGTCATTGAAGAGGGTTTGGTAATTTTAGATTTAACAAAAACAAATTAAAAGTCATCTTCTAATCGAACTTTTGTTAATCCCCTCGTAAGTGGTGTGTGGATTTGTAGTTTGTAATTAGAGAGTAGAAGATTACTTTGACACTTGATAAATTATTATTAGCAGCGGTAAGATATTTAATTCTTTACTTAATATTTATTACTCACTTACATGTGTACATACATACATATTAAGCAAAATTAGTTGAAATGAAAGTCATACAACTTGACATGTTGAACTTTTCCCGCAAATTCCGTGTGCATTTATTTATTTATGAAATACTTTGTATGCCGCAACCTGCGTTTATTGTCCATTACAGTTGTTCCTTCTCTTAATGGTTGCCACATTTTGCTTGTGCACCTCATTCCAGCTGCATGCAGACGTTGGCCCAGCCGCATCAAAGCTTACTCAATGAACATAAACATTACGTAGGTCACATGTAAATGTATTTAGGTATGCATGTGTATACATATATACATGTTTAGAAGCATATAAAAATATGGCATAACGGTATCTGTGCGAATCACGGAAATTTTCATTATATTAATGATCAGCAAATGAGTTTCCTTAGCGTGCCTTGTTGGAAAAACTTATTCAATTTTCAATATTTTTTTTGCAAAGAAATATCCAAATATTAGGACTAGTCACTATCGAAGTGTATGGTCTGGTGTTCTTAAAATAAAACACAATTTCGCTCCTGTTGGCCAAAGCAGGGCGTTTCCTCCAGTTAGTTCAATTGCTGATAGCACAAGTCCGAATTAAGCGTTCGACCGTAAGGGAGCAGGCCGCAGTGGATAGCTCCTTCTCAATTCAGCCAAACGCAAAACAAAAAACCGCTTGGCCGTCAGCTCTAGCTTGGAGACCATCTATACCGACTCATTGCTTTTAAGCCACGACTGCTTTTGTTTGACGTTGCATACAGAAGAGGCCATTTTTGATCAACAGAGGCCGAATTGTGTGCCATCAGTACAACGCTAAACCACACATGTCTTTGGTGACGCGCCAGAAGCTCCAGCAGCTCGGATAGGAGGTCCTAATGCAGCTACCTTATAGTCCGCATCTGGCACCAATTGATTACCCATCTTTTCCTGTCCATGTCGGACGCACTTAATGATGAAAAGTTGGCCTCAAGAGAGGCCTGTGAAAATTTGCTTTCCGAGTTGTTTGCCAATAGGGACGCAGCCTTCTACGAGAGGGGTATAATGAAGTTAGCATCTCATTGGCCACAAGCACGCACAAAACAGCGCATATTTGACTTAAATTGGACGAATGTACACAAAGTTATCATAATTATTTTAAAAAATCAATAAAAAACCGTACGAACTTTTTACTTGACCTAGAGTTTATTTCTTTTGAAACAATTGGAAATACCTCTGAACTATATGGTCCTTTCCGTTGCATTTTAGAGTCGTTCTTGACAAATAAGATAAATTTAATGACCCTAACTGAAGATCGTCCTGATCGCCCTTATACGCCCTGATCTCATATTTAAAATTACGAACACTATAAAAGTAACAGTACTAAACTTCTTTATATGAAAATAACAAAAAATGTTCGAAAGCTTGAAATTTGGAGCGTAGTTTCGCCAAAACTGAATATAGAGCGGTCGCTGTTTACAATAAAATTAAGATGGAGAAATTATTATGACAAAAATTTTCCTTTTAAGGGGTAATTTGTCAATTCTTTGAAGAGTGGTAGAACCCCGAAGATAAATGTTTTTTAAATTCCCGAAATTATTATGATAATCTAGCAAAGAATAGGCAAATCTTGAGAGGCATTGCTTTAAAAACAACCAAAAAAATTTTTCTCGGGAGACCCTATGTGGATATGTGGTTTGACTGCGCACAGATTCTATAGATCTCATCCATTTCGCATGTATTTATTACAAATCTCTGGTTCCAAGGCAGTATTCAAACGATCCACCAGCCGTCCAGCCTTAATGTAGTTTAGCCGCCTTAAGGAATTTATTTGACTCTGTTACCTTCAGCATACTTCGATAATACCACTTACGACCATAAGTGGATACAAAGAGCTTGTCCTTCACCGGATGCGTGGTCATGGGAGCAAGTATTTTTTTTCTTTAACTGAGACATTTTCTTCGATAAAGCAGAGTCTGCTTTAGATTTCTTTGAGCTTATGAGGGATTATGAATTTAAAATTGTTTAAATAAGGCTTTAAGGCTCTGCAGGACCTCTAGATTTGAACAGAAATTGCCATGACATTTTTTTCAGCTTTTCGACCGCTGCCTGCTTTCTACGTGCCACAACCGAATTCAGTGCCATCGCCACTTTTGCACACACAAAACGCCTCTGCTTTTACGCATTATATTCTTTATTGGCTTTTCCCACTATACAAAACCCAAAAAAAAAAAAAAAAAACAAAAAAAAAAATATTCACCCACACAAACAGAAAAGAGCCTTGCCTGTGGGAGAAAGCAATAAAATTGCATTCATAAATCGCCCAATCTGTGCAAGTGTATTATTTGTTGTTACTGTTGTTGTCATTGTTGTTGTTGTTGTTCTTTATGGCATTATGTGCTTTGGGTGCAGAATTTATGGAATAGCGGCGCTTGAAACTACACTTCGTGCCACACTCTTAATACCAGCTACGAGTGAGTGGCCCTTGTACGGGTATGTCCGTCCGCCCGTTGTGGTGAACTAAAGTTGCTTGCCTGCGCCCCAATGGAGGCGTCTGTTTTCACAGCTAATCAGTGTTGTTGAATGGTGGGGTGGGTAGATTAGGGTGAGATGGTAATGGGGGAGAACAGAGCTGATTGTGATTTTCAGCAAATACTCGGAAGTATTACAAAAATATACACTGTTATTTTCCTTGAGAGAGTGTGAACAGAAACATATTGGGGAGAACTCTAACTGTTGACATGGGTTGCCACTTAGTTAAATTGGTGCGAAGTTTAATTTTTTTCATTTTCCTGTTAGAAATAATTTAACTTGAATAAGAAAAACTACTAAGTCTTTTTCATTTTTTTCATTTTTTTTCATTTCTTTCAGCAAACCGTTACTTTCTCTCACTCAACTCGCTACCGCGTGTAAATCTTCAAAATTCCTTGCTGCAGTATGGATACGAATTCTGTGAGTCCATTGCCGCCACCAGAAGCACCACTCGCTATGATGGAAGTTGAAAAAACGCCACCCGGGACACCAACAACAAATGATATGCCACCACCACCGGATGAAGAAAAGTGAGTGGAAATAATCAATTATCTACTTAAAGCTAATAAAATAAGACGCTGACAGTTGTGTGGGGAAATAAATGCATAAGAGAGATTTAAAAAAAATATTTTAAAATAGAAAAAAGTTATTGTGCCGACGCAATAAGAGAGATTAAATTTTATATATAATTAGCTATTTATAATCACTCAAGCGGTTTTCAGCCAAGCTCCTCTTTCTTTTAATCTATCTCCAACAAAAGGAGTAAGGCGGTTTCTCTAAGCCCTCTTTGGACAACTGTTGGGGGTTTTATGAGGAAAATAAAATATGTGAACAGTCAAGAATTCAGAATGGTAATACTTCCACGCTGGTTTCAGAAAACAAAGTCGCGTTACCCCACTTTAGCTGCCTTTTCATCCATGCTTATTTGCTCTCGCTATATTAAGTTTTTCTGTAAGCTCCCTCTCGCTACAACTTTAACAGACTAGTATCTCTTCGTGGGAAAGAATAAAAACGTAAGCTCTGCCATAATGATTAACCATAATACTCTCACTGCAAAGTCATGCCGGAGCAAGCTCGCAAGGCTATTGCTTTTCGCAGCGAAATCAGATTTGCAACTTTGAACAAATGTTGTAGTTGTCTTATTGGACGGACATATCGCACCATGGGCGCATTCGTGGCACCAACTATCAGGACGAAATCTTTACATCTTCTCCTTCTCTAAAACACATTGTCAAAAACTTCCTCTCTCGCTTTCTATCTACGTGATGATTACAGACTTCACCCTCAACCTGAAGACTTTTTCGGTTAGACCAAGAGAAAGAACTAAAATGAAGTATAACCTATAGAAGATCTGTGTAATAGGTCTTCTTACAGTTCATATTCTGACATGCAGATTGACTGGGCGTACCATCCAACGATCAGTGCCGAGGTTGCAGAAAAGAATAAGAACCTGAAACCTTAAAGCACTTTCTATGTGAATGTGCCGCACTTTGGAGAAGTAGGTTGAAGTCTCTGGTGGCGGGAACCTTTAGAGACCTGAGCGAGATAGCGGTGGCCCAGATGCCGCGTCGGCTCAGCTTTGCAAATTCCACTCACTGGTTTGATTAACGAGTAGCGGTCATTAATATCCTCAGTGATGCCCAGCGATCCACAACTACCAACCAAGTATACCCTGAAATATTTTAGGGAAGATTATTCGCCAGAAGAATAGTTCGTGAGCCCGTAAGCTATACGGGTAAAATCTCCGAATACTGGCATCCCAATGGATGAACATTTCGTCACAATCTACAGCATCTTCTTTCATCATCTACATCTTCGGCAGAAATGTTGGAAAATCAGCCTCCCCGACAAAACAACTCCAGTTGTGGTTGAGGCAGATCGACTTTGCCGGTGTTCGAAATTTAGTTGTCTTTAAGAAAATTCATCAAGCAAGACGATATCGAAAAGCTGCAATCCCAACACACTCCCGATCGATTTTCAACTCGAATTGCATTCCTGCTCTCTGAGAGCACTCATCAGCAACTCGGCTTCCTACGTACAGCTGCAAACGTAACAATTGGATTTCATAAAGGTCGCGAAAGCAGCTGGTACCATGATGACTGCCATATCGCAGTGGAGAGAAAACAGACTACCTACCTCGCAACCTTGCGATCGACCACAACACGTTCGAGATGGGATAGATACCGAGAGATAAAGAGGGAAGCAAGATAAATCTGGAGCAAAACAAAAAGATGCGTAAGTATGAAGAGCTTGAGAAGCTGGCCGAAAAAGGTAATGCTCGAAAATTCTATAAGAAGATACGACGACTTACGGAAGGTTTCAAGACCGGAGCAGACTCTTGTAGGACACAAAGAGGTGATCTAGCCACCGATGTCCAGAGTATATTAAATTCATGGACGGAACACTTCTCCAACCTCCTGAATAGCAGTGAAAATGGAGAATCCGGAGATGGTGAACCCGAAACCCCAATCAATGATGATGGAAAAGACGTTCCACTATCTGACCATGAAGAAGTTCGAATAGCACTCGCCCGCAAACAAAGCGGCGGGAGCTGACGGTCTGCCGATAGAACTATTCAAACATAGCGGTGAAGAGCTGACAAGCTGTATGCATCAGAAATTTTACAGAATATGGTCGGACGAAAGCGTGCCCGACGATTGGAATTTAAGTGTGCTCTGCCCAATCCATAAAAAAGAGGACATCACAGTCTGCGCCAATTTCCGTGGAATAAGCCTTCTTAACAACGCATATAAGATACTGTCGAGCGTATTGTGTGGAAGACTGAAACCCACCGTCAACAAACTGTTCAGACATTATCAATATGGCTTCAGACCTGGTAAGTCAACCATTGACCAGTGCAGTGAAAAGAGGATTGACACCCCCTCTACATCGATTTTAAAGCAACCTTCAACAGCCCGAAAAGGAGCTGCCTCTACGCCGCCTTATTTGAATTTGGTATCCCCGCAAAACTTACTCGGCAGTGTAAGCTGACGCTAGATAACACCAGAAGCGCAGTCAGAATTGGGAAGGACCTCTCCGAGCCGTTTGATACCAAACGAAGTATCAGGCAAGGTGACTCTCTATCGTGTACTTTTTTCAATTTGATACTGGAGAAAATAGCACGAGCTACAGGGTTGAATTGAGAAGGTACAATCTTCTGTATCTGTATCTATAGCTGCTAGAGTACCCCAATGGGATTGACATTATTGGCTTCAACAGCCGCATCGTGAGTTCTACTTTCCCTAAAATAGATTAGAAAGCAAAGGATATGGGTCTGGTAGTGAAGAAGGGCAAGTCGGATGTCTCCAGTCATCAAACAAACAGTCAACGCATTCGGAACTTGGCAGTCATAACTTTGAAGTCGTAGATAACTTCGTCTAACTTGGAACCAGCATTAATACAAATATTAACGTCAGCCAGCAAATCTAGCGCAGAATCACTCTTGCCGACAGGCGATACTTCGGGCTGAGCAGGCAATTGGAAAGTAAATTCCTCTCTCAACGAACAAAGATCAAACTCTACAAGTCGCTCAACGTTTCGATGAAGCAATAGAGTGCCACGGATTTGATGGTGACCACATCTGGAGTCAGCATTAGAATATTTCGAGAGGAGTGTTTCGCTGAAAATATATGGTCTTTTTCCCATTGATAATGGAGAATTCTGCTTCTGCAATATTTTAGCTTTGAAAGCTTTAGCAACGGCCGATGGTAGAATGAAAGTAGAGATAGAGGAAAACCATCACTCCGTTGGAAAGATTCAACTGCAAAGTATAATTTTTCGCTCGCAAGTGTAACAAGAATTTTATTGAAGTGAAAATAGTCAAGGTCCATTTGATATTTTAGCCATTAAATGTGTCCAACCCAATTTTTTAATATAAATTCCCGACTGAATGAACGGATATTACATACATATATATATACATATAAGTATATGTGTAAGTATTCTATGTATGTATGTATTTATGAGCAAATTTAATGCTCCACTTAAATATCCGTATCTTAATATGTATTTACTTATGTATATTATTGTAGGCATGATACATATATAACATGTTTGTATGTATCTGACATTGCTTGTGTACTTCGATATTTTTTTTACTTAGAAACTTTTCCAACTACTCATTTCCTGAGCTGAATTGAGATAAGTTCTTCTTCGGCAGTGTGTGGCATTTCGCACGGCCAATAAAGTGTTAGGTCGTCACGCCTACATATTTTTATATGCTATGGCATAAATAAATAAATATGTACTCGTGTGTGTGTGTGTGTGTGTATATAGTTTCATACACTTTGCCCACTTAAGACAAGTGCACTCAAATTAAATTAAGTCCAACTAACACGAATATCAGCTACCTCCAGACAATGTGGTGGACCCGCGATGTGTCACAGCCAGACCCACACAGACACACTATGCGGTTATGCAAGTAGCTGAGAGAAAAATACCGTTTGGGCAATCAGTGCACACATTGCTCATTTAATCTGTAATTCGTAGGCAAACGAAAAGATTTGCGTACTTGGAAACACTCGACGCTAGATTTGCTTGCAGATATTTGCTTGCTGGATAAACAAAAATGTTTGCTTTTGTTGTAAAAATATCAGATAATTTGCGTTAATTTACATAAATTGCAATCATATTTGCACCTACATTTATTATGGCACAAATACTCCCAGTGAAATACTCCCGAGCGTAAACGATGAGTAAATGCCAAATTGCGGTTGCACTCGCCTCTTTGATCTATTACCCGGTAGGCGGAAAGTAATGTGTGGAACAGTGCTCCTAAGCACCTTGGAAGCTATTGTGGAATGTGTAATTGCATGTAAATCTATAAACTACAGTTTGCCTGCGACTTCATTTGTATGGATTTTCAAAGTGGTATTGATAAGGTTTTTATTATATTTATATTTTTTTATAACCTACAAACAATTGGGTTGCCTCAAAAGATACTGGCGATTTTTCATACAGACGGCATTGCCATTTTTTTTAACAATTTGTGACTATTTGATTGTAGTTTTTCTTTTGACCTTTATGAGCTGTCACTTTAAGCTTGCTTTAGAAAAAAAATACGCGTAATTTTGTTTATACTCTTTTGGTTTGGCGTCAATTTAATATGAAGCCCACAAAAGAACATTTTCGCCATATTTTATCCATCCTTAAGGGAGAGAATGCTGCGCAGGTTGATAAAAAATTGCATAATTTGTCGTGTCGAAGTTGGTTTGTCAGATTCCGTTTGGGTGATTTTTCACTCAAAGCTAAGCCACGTTCGGGTCAGCCAAGTGAAGTTGGTGATGACAATATCAAGGCTTTAATCGAATCGGATTCTCATATAACTGAGCGTAAGATTGGAGAGAAGTTAAGCATACCAAACTCAAGCGTTCATAAACATATACGACGTCTTGAACTGTTCAAAAAACTTGATATTTGGGTACCACAAGAATTTTAAGAAAACCAGGCACTCTACATACTGACCTTGGCAAAGAGGCACCTACATATATTCAGCATTTTATGGAAGACCGAACAATCGAATTGATTACAA